TTTTTTTTTTTTTTTTTTTTTTTACGTTCTTGTGCTGGACAATAATGCGCTGCTTGCCTTTTTCCATTTTGTCCTCCTCCTTGCCTGGGTGCACAATGGACTGAGTGGAAAATATCCTCCCCCCCCAGGCCGTGTGCTGTGCGCATTTCCGTATGCGTGATTTAAAATTTTTTTTCACTTTACAACTTAGGCATGCATCACTTTGATTTGGGTGCACTGCGTCAAATTTGGAACAAATCACACACGTTTGCCTGAACAGGTGGCCACATGAGGCTTTGGCCTGTTCCGCTTACTCCCCCCAATCGACTTCACTTCACCCCGCTTCACTTGGTGTATTTGTGTCCTTGGTGGGGTTGCTTTCAGTTGGTCACCCGTGTTACTCGGCCTTTTTCAGCCCGTCCGTTCGTTCCTTTGGCCCGTCCAGTCCAGTCTAGTCCACTGTACACACATTTTTTTTTAGGCCGCATTTTACTTCCCCCCCAATGAACATGTACCTACTGCCGGACGAACAAACAGACCATTCCGCGCACGTACCTACGCGCATACGGCGTATTGGTAAATGTGCTTATGTATGTATTTGTTTTAATATGTGTACGATATTTTTTTTTTTTTTTTCCATTTTTCCAATTTTGGCCACCCTATTCATTTGTCCAAATTTATTTTTTGCATTTCATTCGGCTTGTCAACCGAATTGACTTTACAAATTGACTTTACAAAATGACTTTACAAAATGACTTTACAAATTGACTTTACAAATTAATTTGCGGGGGAGTTTTTTTCTAAGCATACTTAGCACTCCCCGCTCGTCATGAGACTTATTTTGCATGCGCAAGGATCGATCCACGAAAGGTGTGTGAAGTGGTGGGGAATTAAGACTGTTTGTTTTTTTTTTGAGCCCACCTTGGTCACTCCAACTGTTTGTCTGCCCGTTTGTCTGCCTGTTTGTTTGTGCCTAGTTGTTCGTTTTTTTTTTTTTTTTTTTTTTTTTTTTTTTTTTTTTTT